AGGTCCCAAACCGTTTAGGGCTTTATATGTAATCATTAATACTTTGAAGTCGATGCGGAAACGAATAGGTAACCAGTGCAGCGCAGCCAGAGTGGGGGAGATGTGCTGATATTTTCTCACCCCACTAATAAGCCTGGCTGCTGCATTCTGGACCATCTGGAGTTTCTGCATCAGCCTCAAAGGCAGCCCCACGTAGAGCGCATTGCAATGATCTAATCTCGAGATTACGAGCACGTGGGCTAGAGTAGTGAGGGCCCCCCGATCAAGATATGGCCGCAGCTGGGCAATCCGTCATAGATGAAAATAGGCAGAACGGACCACGGACGCCACCTGGGTTTCCATGGGTCTTCCAGACAACTAATATTTTCCATCTTAATAAAGTGAGTACTGTATTCATATGTAGATTATGAATACTAAAATATTATAAATATAATATATCCTATATTTGTCCCATTTTAGGGTTTATGTAGAATTTTTCTGTTTTGATTGGGGCAGTGAGCCAAGGAACAATACCTTGCATTAATGTACTGTACTTCCCTCCTTGACAAAATCTGGGAGTGCAGCAAATGAAAAACCTGTATGGTTATTCTTATATTGAATACTGTAGTCCTGTTTTTTTAAAAAATGGGCACTACTGTTTTTCATTACACGTTATATTACAGGTGGCTAATGAAAATTAAAAAGCAGTGCACATTTTAAAATACTAAAGAAAAACACAAATCTAAAGGGTTTATTATTAAAACTTGACAAAGTCTTACTCAGTGAAACATTTTTGCCCAGTGCATGAAAGAGGTAAACAGAAGTGGGAAATACTTGTTCGTGTGTGTATGTGTATATTCTACCATTACATGGAAAACTATCATTCACATTTGGCTCCCACTGTGCAATCCATATATTATATATATGTATAGTCAACTGACAGTGGAGGTGAGCATGAGAACTGCTCCTTTAAGAACAGAGCAAGAGTCCCTGCCAGCCCAACATTTTATTTCCAACTGGGTCCAGGCATGGGTATTTCTGCCTGCCCAGAAACAGGGATTAAGAAGACTACCCTTTTTCGGGGTGGGCTGGGGGGTTTGTTTTGGTGTGAAGCAGCATTCTTCATGTGTACATGAAGCACGTGTGCGTGGAAACAGAGGTGTGCAGTTTGCTCCTGGGTTAATATCTGAGCCTGGATGCCCAGGTTTTGGCAGTGACCAGGAGTGTGTTTGCACAATCAAAACTAGTGCACCGACTGTGCCCATTCCTGGAGAGATATGGTCTGGCCACAGTGACGCAGGCCTTCATTACTTTTAAGTGTTGTCCATAGGCATGGATGGGTGGAAGATCCCACATAAAAACCATGTTGTTCCATGAGGACTAGTGCCTTGGATCCTAGATTTTGCACACTGCAAAGCCTTCCGCCTATGGAACTGATAGCAACCCTGATAGAGCTTTCAAGATAGGTGAGTGATATTTAAGGAGTGTTTTTTACCAGTTGCATTCCCCCAGAGTTTCCACGGCCATTTGGGGATCTGAGCTCAGTTATTCAGAATTCTAGTCTGGTACGCTACCCACTACAGCACACTGGGAATCTGTTTTGATAACATAGATCCAACTTTTATCCAATTCCTTTGAAAGCTCCAACCAGACTGTTTCTACTTTGGATAAAAGAAAGAGAAAAACCTGTAGCCCTGAAACGGGGGAGAAGCTAAACAAGGAGGTCACAGGTCCCTGGTACCCGAGAAGCTAAAACTCCATGCAGTATAGAGGAGGTTTCCCTAGTTCTATTTTTTGGAGACCTAGAATCCTCCGGTCAACTAAAGGTTAAACACACTGAGTTTCGATTCCTAGAAGGGAAGGGGGCCTTGGGAGCAGGAGACCTGTCCGTCTGTATAAGAAATACTCCTCCTTCCTGTCCTGCCTTTTTTTTCCTCCGAAGGAAAGCGGGGCTTTGGCTGCTGGAAAAGATGGCTGGGATCTGTTTCTCCCTTTCTGGGATCCGGGGAGCTTCCTTTCCCCCGTTGCAACTGGGAGGGATGGTGAGTCTGTCCCAGCAGGGCTGTCTGAGACGATTGGGGGGGGGGGCGGGAAGGGGACACGTCTGGGGGAGACCAGAGAGAGGAGGGCAGTGGGGAGGGGACCCCAAACTCCAAGCCCAGCTTAGAGAAGGGAAGCCCCAAAGATCGGGCAGGGGAGGCAGCTGGAAGGGAGGCCCAAAGGTTGTGGTGGCCCAAGCCGTTTGGCTGCCTGAAGGACAATATCCATGGCCTCATTGATACGTCTTCTGCCCACAAAGAGCTAAATGTGCAAAACTCCCACCCTTGGCAAGAGAGGGGAGGGCAGTAGGTTGCCTTTGGCAGCTGCAGGGCCGGCAGAGGGGATACATACAGCTCTGTGACCCGAAGAAGTAGAGCCGTGTTGGATTAGACCAAAGGCTGGTCTAGTCTAGCATCCTTTTTCTCACAGAGGCTCTCTAGATTCCTTCAGGAAACTCCCAGGGCAGACTGGTCACCAGCAGCCTTTTCCCTCCTCCTCTTGATCCCAGCAACTGGGATTCAGAGGATTCTTCTTGGAGGGAGCACATGGCCAAGGTTTAGTTTAGGATTTAGAAGGTTATCTTTATAAAACCCTTAAGGAGCCCCCCCCCCTTTCTTCTTCTTTTCATTTAGGACCCAGTGGCCTTTGAGGAGGTGGCTGTTTACTTCTCCCAGGAGGAGTGGGCAGAGCTGGATCCTAACCAGAGGGCCCTGCACAAGGAAGTCATGAAGGAGAACTGGCAAACTGTGTCCTCTCTGAGTAAGGTGCCCTCTTTCCCCATCAGATGCTGATCTCTGGTGGTTACCAGTGGAATAATAACTAGTAGCAATAATGGCAAGGAGGATGAGTCCATGTTGGAGTGATGTTCTAACTTACCTTAAACACTGTGGGATCCTTATTGCTAGACTGGGCTAGTATAATTATATTTTCTCATTTATAATGCTTTATCTTTAATTGTACATGACAGGTACAGGATAGAGAAACTTCCTGCCCCCATGTTACAGGGGATAAAAGTGTATGTAAAAATATTATGAGGTAAATTGAGAATACTGAATTGCTTGTCACCCCTCTCCCTTGGTGTCTGGGAAACCCATTGTAAAAGTTGAAGCTTCTCTCGGAATCTAGACAAATTTAAGGCCCAGAGGCTCCAGAGTCAGCAAAATCTACAAAAGTAAAAATTACATGAGAAAAAGTGAACTGAAAAGCATCTGCATGTAAGCATGGATGTGAGTGTAAAAGAATGGGACTGAATCCCAAGCAAAAATTGCTTTTTTGTTCTACTGACATTTTCCTGCACTCTAGTTGGCTTCCGTACCTTCACTCCTAAAATTCAGTTCTGTGTTGGCAGATAGCAAGCTGAAAGAGCATTGTATCACTCTTATTTATTCCTAAAAAGTAAATTATCCTTTCGTCCTGCAGCACATGATGTGACTATAACATCTTATCAGGGAATTCTCTGGGCCTGGAGCCACTGAAAGTGTCCACAGTGCTCCATTGCCTTCCAGCTTGGCCAGAGCCTTGTTGCCTCTGCAATTTATCTCTCTTTTTTTGCTCATACCTTAGCCGCTTTTGCCAACAGGAAACAGTTAACTGTGCTGTACAGTAGGACTGTGGAGGATTAGTTCCAGCTGCCCCATGGATGCTGAAAAATGTGAAAGTATCAAATGCTGTAATGTGCATTGCATGGTCTCTGGCTCCTTCAAATGGCCAGTTCTGGTAAATAAACCTGGAAATAGGTATTTCTGGGTTTTTAAAAAAAGTATTTAGTATTTTCAGACATTAAATACGTGAATCAGTGGATACTGATCCTGCAGATGGGAGTATACTGTGTATGAAACAAACCAAAGATTCCAGCAGTGTTCATTCCATAGGCAGACCACACCACCAGTCAATAATCCAGTTTATAGGCCATATAGTTTATTTATTTATTTATTTATTTATTTGTTTGTTTGTTTGTTTGTTTGCTTGTTTATTTATTTATTTATTTATTTATAATATTTCTGCCCACCTTTCCACTACTAGGTAGCACTTTAGGCAGCCTATAATAACAGGCCTTTTGCCCAGCATACACGTATACCTAAAACTTGAATCTGATTAACTGGCTAAAACTTTATTGAGACCTAGCAAAATGTCTATTTCAACTTTTTAATTTCTTTGAAATTCTTTATTTGCTACAGAGCATTTTTAGAACCACCCACCCTTTTTTGACTAATTATTGACAAGCCCTTTTTCTGGATGCTCCAAACTCCATAACTCAAAACCTCACTCAATTGCTAAATGTGAGTCAGTTGTGTGATGCTGTATTAATAGGATGTCAAACTGTATTGACAGAAATATCATGCCCAGCTCTTAGGAAAGTAGCACTATTTTCCACTGTGGTTAGAGTTTTCCTGGAATGCTGTATCTATTCTCGATATTGCCACTTAAGGATGAGAATCTGGGACAAGTTCCGAAAAGGCAACTAGTAAAGAGTCGGGGGGGGGGACCAAGCCCTATGAAGGATGGGTAAGGGACCAGATTATGTTTATCCTGGAGAGAAAAAGATTGAGAGAGGATGTGAGGGCTCTCTGTAAATATTTGAGTGGCCACACTGAAGGTGGAGTAAGCTATTTTCCTGCAGCTCCAGAGACAGAATTCCAAGCAGTGGTTTCAAATGACAAATTTGAAAACTCCAGACCCTCATTGCTCTCTACTTTCCCCAACGTAGTTTCTAGTTCCAAAACTGGAGTACTTCTCTCCATTGGAGAATTCGAAACATGGGGAGGATTGGGAAGTAAGCCTAAATCTCTGCTGCCAGATTGAGGAACTCATCAGCAAAGCCAGCTAAAAAAAACAGAGTTCAAAAGCTGTCCTAGTGGCTAACTAAAGAAAGTTCTTCACTTGCTTAGCCATCAAAATACTGCAAACAGTTGAGAAGTAATGAGTTCATTTTTTGTGGTGTCCATGTATGCACACAAAATGGGGGTGTGTGCCTGCACGAAACCGCTTCAAAAAGTTCCAGAGCCTCAAAACCAGAAGTGTTTCTGGCCCCTTCGGCGCAAGCTCAACCTTGCTCTCCTTGGTGTGTGCCTGCACGAAACCGCTTCAAAAAGTTCCAGAGCCTCAAAAACAGAAGTGTTTCTGGCCCTTTCGGCGCAAGCTCAACCTTGCTCTCCTTTTTTGTCCGCCGTTGCAACAGCATGCAAAGGACTGCTCCGGAGCCTTGCTTCACTTAACTTCATTCCTTTACGGTAAGTCCTCTGCCTTCTTTTTTCTTTTCTTTACCCTTCTTTTTCTTTTCTCCTGGTGTGTTAGTTTAAAAAGAGTTTTACCTTTGCCTCCCCTTCCCCACAGCTTTGCCGTCTCCCTTATCTAACAATTTATGGCCTCCTGCCCTAATGAAAAAGTGTGCCACATGTGGCAGAAAGATCCCTCAGTCTGATGGGCATGATGCTTGCTTATTTTGGCTAGGAGAAGCCCATTTAGTTCAATCCTGTATAATCTGTAAGAGTTTTAATGCCTTTATTTTATTTTATTTTATTTTATTTGTCTGTCTGTCTGTCTGTCTGTCTGTCTATCTATTTATTTATTATTAGATTTTTATCCCACACCTTCTAGACAAAGTCTACTCAGGGTAGCTTACATAAAATCATTCATAAAACAATTCATGCTCAAGAAGTGTCAGTCTCAGCTTCGATCTTTCCTTTGGAAACAATCCCTTCAAGCTATGGCTCCCCCTCCTGGAATGATTTTGACCACACAGATGGATTAATCAGTCCTGCCAGGGACAGCCACCCTGTCCCTGGCAGGGATGGACTTTTTAAAATACTTCCCATCCAAACCACTGCTGAAATTGACAAAGAAACTGGGATATGGCAGCCATAAACGTACACCAGCCCCGATATTGAGGTATTAAAGAAGAAGACATGGCAACCTGTAGATGGGCATGGCGGTTTCAGATCTGCAGTTATTGATCCAAGAGTCTACCTCTGCTCTCAATACTGATGCCTAATATATGGTCTCGGTCTCAGAGGGTGACTGCTTGAGCCCCTCTGTGCAGAATGTTGCCGCCTCGCTGAAAGCGCCATTGCCTTGGAACCCAGTGCAAGAGCAATCCTTGCTTACACTATACCAACGATGGACAACAGTTGAACTCAAGATCCTTTTTCTTTACTCAATGTTCTCCACAACCAGGACACCAAGATAGCGAGAACAGGAGGTGCAGATCACATTTGTTCTCACAATCCCCAGTGTGTCAGTGTCAACTGCACAATATCAAGGTCTTCGTCAATGAGCTCTCAATAGCATGAGGATGCTTACTATGTACCCTTCTGCTCTCCCTGCTTCACATATGGAGACATGGGCAAGCCTTCCCAGTCATACAGAAACCGTAGTTGATCTCAAGAACACAGCAGATCTTGATCAGGCACATACACTCATCTTCGATTTCTGGAAACTTACGGTGCCAGCCCTCGGGGCCAATCTGGCCGAAGCTGCAAGCGACATCCTGACTCCCATTCTCGTCGGGGCCTTCAAAATCGATCTCATTCTTTGCACCACTCTGCTGCTCTGTGTCTCCCACACACAGGACCAGCACCACCAATGAAGCTCTCCCCAAGCTTCCACCCAAGCCTTAGCTCTCTGACCCACCTCACCTGAGGTACTTCTGCCTCCTCCTAATCCAGACTTCTTAGTTACCTTTTGATTCCCACCTGACTCACAATAGCTGCTTGCAACTCCTGCAGTTCCTGCAAGAGAAAGACAACTGGACAACTGCTCTGCTGATTCCAACAAGGAGGAAGGAGAAGACTGTTCTCGTCCCAGAATCTTCATGTGTTTCTGATGTCCAAGATGCCATCCCTCTCTCCCCCGTGGACGATCTCTCTTCACATAGTGACCTGATAGAGAGAATGGCAAAGTCATTGTAGCTACCAGTTTTCAAACCAGCACTGCCGGCCAAGGATGCAGGTTTGGGCCACATCCACAAGAAGAGAAATATCCCCATTGAAATGGTGATGCTTGCAACTCTGATGGGTCTTATCAGCCAGTCCTGGCAAAAACCTTCTTTGATCCCACTGACATCCTGTAGGATTGAGAACTTCTACAGGGTCCAACAGGGCAAAGCTAAGTTCCTGTTTAAACATCCAACACTGAACTCTGTCATTGTCCAAACAGCTCAAATGAGATCCAAGGGTTCTAAACATCCCACACTGAACTCTGTCATTGCCCAAACAGCTCAAATGAGATCCAAGGGTTCTGCCTGTGATACCCCAAATAATAAAGGAAGTTGCAAACTAGACTTGCTGGCTTGCAAGATTTATTCTTCAGCGACACTTCACATGTGCACAGTCAATTACCAAGCCATGATGGGTACGTACCATCAATTCATCTGGGAGAGATTTCAGACCATGATTGGAAAACAGTTTCTAGCCATCTCCTTTTAGCAGGAGGCTTACGGTCTGGCTGGGCAACAAATCCACTCCACTTGGCACATGGCTGATTGTGTAGCTAAGAGCATGGCAGTGAGCATCACTCTGTGCAGACACACAAGACTTCGCTCTGCAGGCCTCCCAGATGACTCCCAAGTCCCACATTGAAGATCCCCCCCCTTTGATAGAGAGGGCTTCTTCAATGACAAAACTGATGACTTCATGCAAGACTTTCACAAGAAGACAACCGAGGCAAAGAAAATGGGCATAAACATGTACCACCAAACAACTTCTCACTTCTGTCCTCACTGTGACTTATAGCTCATTAGTCACCCATTTTGTTTGCATACATGGACATCACGAAAAAGAAGGCTTGGTTACTTATGTAACTATGGTTCTTTGAGTGATGATCCATGTATCCACACAATCCTGTTCACCTCCCCTATTGTTCTGCCCTTCTCCTTTTCTTGTGGCGCACAACAGGGGCTGAGGAGAGCGGGGCCATGTTTGTGCAGTGTAGACTAGAGGCACTTTTGTTTTTGAGGCTCTGGAACTTTCCAAAGGAGTGTCACACAGGCACACACGCCCCTTTTCTGTGGATACATGGATCACCAAAGAACCATAGTTACATAAGTAATACTAGTACAGTTCTTGCTACCTTTTTTTTTTTGGCTGCTACATCACATTGTTGACTAACCTTTAATGTTTAGTCCAGTGAGAGATCCAGAGATTGGAACATACAGAAAAAAAGGCTTAACATGCTTCCTTTCTCACCAGCAAGCTCAAAAGTCCAGTAAGGAGAGAGTAGAGATTTAGGACATCAGTCAGAAAATGTAATGGCAGAGGTTGCTAGATTTTACGTGTTAGATTAACCTCTCCCTACCTGTCATTTTCTAGACATGCTGGACTACAAATCAGACAATTCCTAACCAGCAAACAGAAAATTGGGTTTTTTGGAAGTATGAAAAGTGTCAGGGAGGAAATGGACGCAAAAGTATGTTTTTCTTCAATACATATGTAGATGTGATGGCAAAATTAAAGGGCAGAGGAGGGGAAAAGAGCAAATTGCTTAGGCACTTAAAAGTTTAACAGATTTCTTTCCATGTGAGCTTTTATGCATCAAAATTAACTTCTTCAGAAAATGTTTTTTCTTTAGATTTATTTTTCTTTTTGTTCACTCTTTTTACGTTTATCTTTCTTCCCAGAAAATTACTGTGGAAAGTCTTTTGCGTACAAATTAGAACTTGCTGCACACCAGGGAACCTATACAGAAGAAGAAAGTTATATGCAAGAGAAGATCTGTGAATCTGTCATGTGTAGAAAACATTTTGCCATGCAGATGCCTTATAAAAAGGTCCGTGCTGGGAAAAAGTGCTTTCAAAGTGAAGTGTCTAGGAAACATTTAAGTCACAATTTGCAATATCTTAGCTACCAAAGACTCCACACAAGAGGGAAACCACACAAATGCCAGGAGTGTGGGAAATGCTTTGCCCACAGGTCAAGCATTGTGAATCATAAGAGAGTCCACTCAGGGGAGAAAATGTACAAATGCCAGGAGTGTGGGAAATGTTTTGTTTTGAAATCAAAACCTCTGGTTATTACAGGGGTCCACACAGGAGAGAAACCTTTTAAATGCCCAAAGTGTGGGAAATGTTTTGCTTTGAATTCAGTGCTTGGGAGACATAAGAGAGCCCACAGAGAAGAGAAACCGTACAAATGCAAGGAGTGTGGGAAATGCTTTGCCAAGAAATCACAGCTTGTAAGTCATAAGAAAGTCCACACATCGGAGAAACCATATAAATGCCAGGAGTGTGGGAAATGTTTTGCCTGGAATTCAAATCTTGTGAGACATAGCAAAGTCCACACAGGAGAGAAACCATACAAATGCCAGGAGTGTGGGAAATGCTTTACCCAAAGGTCACAGCTTGTGAGTCATAAGAGAGTCCACACAAGAGAGAAACTGTGCAAATGCCAGGAGTGTGGGAAATGCTTTACCCAGAAGTCACAGCTAGAAAAGCACAAGAGAGTCCACACAGGAAAGAAACCATACAAATGCCAGGAGTGTGGGAAATGTTTTGCTTTGAATTCAATGCTTTTGAGACATAAGAGAGTCCACACAGGAGAGAAACCGTACAAATGCCAAGAGTGTGGGAAGTGTTTTGCTCACAGTTCACAACTTGTGAGTCACAAGAGAACCCACACAGGAGAGAAACCGTACAAATGCCAGGAATGTAGAAAATGCTTTGCCCAGAGGTCACAGCTTGTGAGTCACAAGAGAGTCCACACAGGAGAGAAACCATACAGATGCCAAGAGTGTGGGAAATGTTTTCCTTGGAACTCAAGCCTTGTGAGCCATAGCAGAGTCCACACAGAAAAGAAACTGTACGTATGCCAGGAGTGTGGGAAGTGTTTTGCTCACAATTCACAGCTTGTGAGTCACAAGACAATCCACACAGGAGAGAAACTATGCATATGCCAGGAGTGTGGGAAATGCTTTGCTTTGAATTCAATGCTTGTGAAACATATGAGTGTACATACAGGAAATTGTACAAATGCCTGGAGTGTTGAAAATGTTTTGCACCGAACTCGCAGCTTGTGAGCCATAAGAGAATCCGCACAAGAAAAACTATAAATGCCAGGAGAACAGGAAATATTTTGCTCAGAATGTATACTTTTCTAGGCCATCAGAGAATCCACATAGGAGAGAAACTTTTCTATTTGTGTCATTGGAGACAAATTTGGCAGAATAGCATTTAGCTTACAAAATCAATAAATTTCAAAGAAAAATAAAGATGTTTTATAGATGCCATATATGACTCCAACAAAACTTTCTAAAATGTATGAAAATGTTTCTAACAAGTGGTGGAAATAACACAGGAGGGTACTTTCTATCATGTTTGGTGGACATGTAGGGAAGCAATAAAATTACTGGAGATTAGTGCATGAAACTCTGAAAAAAAAATGCATCCTGTACAATACCATTTAAACCAGAATTGTTTTTATTGACTATTATGCCTGAAAGTCTAAGTACTGTAAAGAAATGATATATTTGATAATACATGTTGTCATGACCCAGCTTCCTGTGAGGGAGAACTTGGTCAGACCGACAGAGAGTAATTGGAAGTCTGAGTACCCCTATGCAGCTGGGTTGAATCCTGGTGACCTCAGCCAGTGCGTACAACAAACTCCTTCTTACAAGTCTGCCCTAAAAAGATATTTGCTGACCCTTAACAACGTTCAGCAGGAAATTACACATGAGCTTTGTAGTCCCTAAGATCTACCTGACTCAGTTATGTACGACTCAGTAGCTTAATGTGGCCTTGCTTCTCCCTCTGTGAATAGCTAAGACAGGCTTCACTGTTCAAGAGACCAAAAGATTTTATAATTGATCTTTTTATTGAAAAAAATATAGATTTATAGAATAAAGTCAGTTCAATGCAAAAGCATAGCAATAAAGCGTTTTCAAGACTTGTTACAATTACAATTAAGGCAACTAATTCCCTTTTAATTGCAAAAGCTCTAAAAATCTCTAAAAGCTTCCTTAGGGTAGGCAAAAGGATGAAAGAGCCCCCTTCTCCTCTTACTTAACTCTCTACATCTTCCCCAGTCCTCTCCCTGCATGGGGCAGCAGGCAAAAAGGCCTAGAAAAATTTGTGGTTCCATCAAAGGGTAAAAAAGGAACAAGATGGAACACGGGACATGGCAAAAGTTCCTTTTTCTATCTTATTTGGCTCCTCCTGTTTTCTTCATCTCCCGCGCTGTTATCCAATCACGGCAGAGAAACAGGTGTTGTTTTCCTCCGTCTATTGTCTTCTCTGCCATAACAAGTGTCTGGTCTTCTTGTATTGGCTTGCACTGGCCTAAAGGAAAAACATTCCCACAGCCCTCTGGAATAACACTTCCATCATAGAAAATCATTCTTACATAGAATTAATATGGAATCCATTTTACATTGTTCATAACTACATATCCCATCTTCATTACATGGTTTAATCACATATTCTCATCCATGACACATGTAATTACTGCAGCTAGGATACTATATGGGAAATATTGGAAGAAAGCAGACATACTGTCCCTAGAAGAGCTGACAGAAAAGGTACTGGAAGTCGTGGACATAGATGTACTAACCAGAAGCACTAAATGAAAGGTCATCTCAAAAATGACTCAAAAATTGAGAACAATTTTACAGCTGGACTCAAAATGTGGCTTGGAAAGCATAGGTAAAATAAGAATGTGAAGGTCCAAGTAGGGAATGAAGAGATTAATAACCATAGCAATTCTGGTAAAACCTGTTAAGCTCTTCTTTTTTAATCTTCTTCTTTTAGTATAACTGTTTAAGTCGATGTAAATGTACTCTCTCACTCTCTGAAATTTTACCTTTCCCCTACCCAGAACTATTCCCCCAGCCCTAAATCCCCATACCCTATTAAGTCCTATCCTCATTGAAAAGGAATTTTTTAAAAATGTAAAAGAACATCCAAGCACAGAAGAAATCCTTCACATCCTGGTACCATGGAAAATGTTTTGTTTCTGTTTAAGTCGATGTAAATGTACTCTCTCACTCTCTGAAATTTTACCTTTCCCCTACCCAGAACTATTCCCCCAGCCCTAAATCCCCATACCCTATTAAGTCCTATCCTCATTGAAAAGGAATTTTTTAAAAATGTAAAAGAACATCCAAGCACAGAAGAAATCCTTCACATCCTGGTACCATGGAAAATGTTTTGTTTTGTTTACACTATTCCCCCAGCCCTAAATCCCCATATCCTACTAAATCCTATCCTCACTGAAAAGGAATTTTTAAAAAATGTAAAAGAAGATCCAAGCACAGAAGAAATCCTTCATATCCTGGTACCATGGAAAATGTTTTGTTTATGGTTCAGATTTCACATGTTGCGAATGGCCAGACAGTAATCACAGGAGAGGAATCTTACAAAGGACTAGAATGTAGGTATGTTTTTCTTTACCATTGAGAGGGAGTCAAGGGAGTCATAAAATAATGGATAGGAGGATGATCTGGCAGCCCTTGGCCTGAACAGAAGGGGGGAAGGGGTAAAAGTAAAGGTTCCCCTTGACATTTAGTCCAGTCGTGTCCGACTCTAGGACATGGTGCTGATCCCCGTTTCTAAGCCATGAAGCCAGTGTTTGTCTGTAGACAGTTTACATGGTCATGTGGTTTGAGGTGGTACCTATTTATCTACATGCATTTTTACATGCTTTTGAACTTCTAGGTTGGGAGGAGGGGGTACCATGGCTGTAACTACTAATTTCCATGTCCCAAGCTCCGCATGGGTTTTGTGAACACTGGAAGAAGATGGAAGAATTACCGGTAGTAAGACGCCTAGGCCTGTGCATACAATGAACTTAAGAGTTCTACTATTTTGTATTTTCTTCTACCTGAGAAGAGGTTGGACTAAGTGTCCATGCTAGGGAAAGACATTTTCACACATTGCTTGGCACATATTACCAAAGGGAAGGTTGGCACGCTTAAGTTCACAGGATCTCACCTCCTTCATAGGTGCTTTTGTTGGGGACATAGGAGAGGGCCTTGTCTGTTGCTGTACTAGAATTTGGAACTCCCTCCCACAGGAGGCCATGATTGGCCTCCGTCTCTGCTGCTCTTTCACAATCAGGTGGAGATATTTCTTTTCAGGCAAACTTTCCCTTAGTGACTGGCTGCCTGAGTGGGTTTTTTTTCCTAGATTGTTGTCCCTTACTGTTTTGAAGGGACATGGTGGCGCTGCGGGCTAAACCGCAGAAGCCTGTGCTGCAGGGTCAGAAGACCAAGCAGTTGTAAGATCGAATCCACGCAATGGAGTGAGCTCCCATTGCTTGTCCCAGCTCCCGCCAACCTAGCGGTTCGAAAGCATGCAAATGCAAGTAGATAAATAGGGACCACCCTCGGTGGGAAGGTAACAGCGTTCCGTGTCTAAGTCGCACTGGCCATGTGACCACGGGAGATTGTCTTCGGACAAAAACGCTGGCTCTATGGCTTGGAAACGGGGATGAGCACCGCCCCCTTTACCTTTTATTGTTTTGAATGTCTTGTTTGTGTTGCTTTTGTTTACTGTTTTGATTGGCTGTCCCACATAGATTGTGTTACAGTAATCCAGCCAGGAAGTAACTAGGGCAGGTGTCAGAGTGGCCAAATCAGAGCTCTCCAGAATTGGATTTAGAATGGCTCACACCCAGAAATGAAATGTCAGCAGATTCTTTTTGATAGTTGTGGACTGTATGCCAATCATTCTTTGCTGTTGGCTGCAGCCACTCACTAAAGCCTGCAGTTAGGTTTCTGTAGTGTAGTGATTGTCATGTTTGCCTCACATGCAAAAATAGAGAGAAACCAAGGAGAAACAACCACAGAGTATCTTTTCCCCTCTTACACTTTATAGTTTACTTTGAACAGAACTTTAATCTGTGTTCTTCAATTCAAATGCATTTCATCTTTTTAAAATTACTATTTAAATTTGTAAAGACACTATGCAAAATAAAACAATGTTGTCTCAACAGAAGACTTTGCAATGATATGAAGAAATGAAATTAGAGTGAGTGCCAAGCACATGAAATACTGTAGATATGTAACTAAAAGTATATAAAACGTGCAAATTCATGGTTTTAAAATGTACAAAACTATGCAAACTTTCATTCATAGCTGCCTTTGCTACAATTGTGTCTGAATATGACATTAGATTTGTCAGCTGTGTTCATTGCTCCAAGTGGTCACTCAGTCTTGTTTCATACTTTCATTAATGCAGCACTGGCCCTTTTGACTAAACTAACACTTTGTTAAAACCAGCAGGGCTCATCTTTAAGTAGGTGTGTAGGAAGGCACCGCCATGGTGCAATACTGGATATAGTGTGATATGGTGCGATGCCTGGGTGTAAGCACAGGAATGCCTTTCCTTTTTCTTTCAATCTCCCTGCAAGAAGGTAGCCAGGCCCTCCTGATCTATCAGAAATGCAACAGCAATTTTTTTTTAAAAAAAAACCCTTCCCAGTGCCTTATAATAATAATAAAAAAGCCCAACCCAGCAGGCAGCTGGTGGTGGTGGTGGTGGTGGTGGTGGCAGTGGCAGCAGAAGTAGTGGCCGAAGCGGGAATCCCGGGCATAGAGGTACCTCCAGATCCCACTCTGGATCCAACTACAGTCATGCCCAACTCGGTCACTACCTATAGTTCGGCTGGCTCACCAGCACCAGCTGCTCCGGATCCTGCCCCGCTGCCTGTTGGGGCGCTAACACTGCGGCTGCAGCTGCCTCCTGAGATTTGGCTGCTGGAGGTAGCGATCCAGCGATTTATGGCTCGCGTGCCCACAGAGAGGGCTCCGTGTGCCAGCTGTAGCACACATGCCATAGGTTTGCCATCGCTGTTCGAGTTCTTTCATTCTCTATGCCCTCACAGCCCCCCTCTTCGCTGATGTACTTGGAGGATCTCTACCAGTGTTTCATATCTATTTCTAGCAGGGGCTTTCCTACGGCTACTTCAGCAGACTGTTCTTCAGGACTCTCAAAATCCGTTTTCTGCTAGACAAAAGGGGCTCCGATAATATCCCACCAAATGCCTGGGGCATTCCCCTGCCTGCTCCCCACTAAAGGAATTGTATCTCCTTCCAAAATGCCAGATTTATCTAGTGTTTTCTGCTTTTCACAGCAGTACCTTTGTAAACTGCAAGGTTCAAAATGACAGCTGCAGATTCAAGTCAAAGATGTAGGTTTCAAACAAAGGAATGTGGTATATCTAACCATGGTTGCTGGAACTGTTAGGTTTTTCCTGCCCCATGCACAGCTGTTTGGTGCCAAATTTGATGGCGGGTAGAGGATGAATTTTTAGTGGCCTAATATAGGTATTGCAAAGCCTTCTCTTCAAATTGTCTACAAGGACTTTTTTAAAAAAAAATCTGAATCACATATATATGATTCAGTTTTCACATACTGTATTGTGAACGGCCAGACAGTAATCATAGGAGAGGATATATTATATATAGATATATCTTATTATGTATCTATATAAAATATTATATAGAAAGGTATATATAATATATATCTCTTATGAAGAACTTTTCCAGAAAGCAATTCCATCAGTTTACAGAAAAACTAACTGAAGCCACTACTGGTCTCTTTTCTTTGAAACTGATTCATTGTATGATTCTTTTGTGGGAGATTTCTGTTGTTCCTACAAAAAAAGGTATAATACTGCAGATTCGAAATAAGCACCCAATAACTACAAAGCATTACATCCAGGTTCAATACTCACAATCACATTGCTATTTTAAACATTAAAATCTTTCCTCTGAAGCATGCAGTGTAGAAGATGGTATTGGCACATGAGCACGTGAGAAATGCATCCATTACTGAGAAATCTTTGTACAGTATATGTTTGCCTCTTTTATTATGTTTGAAAAGACAAAGAAGTTGGTTAGGATCAGATAACAGACACCAATATATATTGGCAATATAGAAATACTGTATAATCCCATTGGGATACCTGAGGCCCCTTAAGTCTTTGTTTGAAGCTTCTTAGACTTCTAAGTTAAGAAAAACAACAACCCAGGAGGTGAAAAGGATACTCTATGCTTCAGGATATCTTCAGGAGCAGAGGGTGTTTTTTTTTTTTTTTTTTTT